TGGTGGGGCAGCAATCGGGGTGCTGGGGTGGGTCACATAGGCCTTACAGGAGAGGTGATAGCCCCTACGAGGGCCATTTGGCCCCCATGGGGGGCTGTACCCCTTGTGTGGGGGCCAAACTCCCTGTTGGGGGGGGCCAAACCCCCTATTGGGGGATGAACCCTTTGAATGGGTGACAAACCCCCTGTTGGGGGACAAACCCCTTGCATGGGGGCTGAATCCCCTGTTGGGGGGCTGCATCCCCTGTGTGGGGGGATGAACCCCTTGTGTGGGGGGATGAACCCCCTGCTGGGGAACTAAAACCCTTATGTGGGTGCTGAACCCTCTGTTGTGGGGCCGAACCCCTTGTGTGAGAGGACAAACTCCTTGTGTGAGAGCGATCGCGATTGTCCAACTGATCGCTGTCTCTGTCTCACTCTCTCTTTATAGCAGTCTTTTGTTTTACTTGTGGAGGAACATCGATTTGGGGGTATTTTAGAGAGTGACTTTGGGATTTTTTTTTTTTTTTTAATCAGGGATTTTTCAGTTTTCCTATAGGGAACACCAGAATTCCTGCTATGGAGGCCAGTGGCAGGACCCTGCCTGTTCAGAGCTGGCACCTTGGACCCAGCTGGAGGTGGCTGACCTCCTAGCCAAATGGGGCCATGAGGACATGCTTTGACAGTTCAAAGCTGGCCACCATACCCGGAACGTCTTCCGGGTGATAGCTGCCCAGATGGCCAGGCAGGGGGCACAAATGGCAGTAGGCCAACCCTGCAACCGCAGTCCATTGGCAGCTGGCCCAGAGGGGCAGATGCCTCTACTAGCTCAGCAGTTCCCATCTGAGTCTGGCAGGTGCACAGCAGGTCACAGCCAGGCAGCAGCCCCAAATGCCAGACTGCTGCAGTGGGTAGAGGGAACTCTCCAGGCTGCTTCAGCAGTCCAGCTGGCACAAGGGGTAGTGTCCCCAGGTACCAATTGGCTGGACCCCAGAAGCTCCTGAGACCAAGTAGCCCTGAGCTACTTGTCAGGGCAGCTTTTTATACTGCTGGGGACAGCACAGGTGCTGGCCCTGGGCTCTAGCACCCCCTGGCTGCAGATGCAGGAGGAGCCAGGCAGGGTTATTTTACCCCAAGTGGCACAATTTGCTCCACAACAAAGTGCATGTCTGCACACGTGCACTGAAGCAAAAAGCCCTGACCCAAATTTGCACTGCTTCTATTTGAGCTGCTGCAAGCACACGTGCTTGCATGTGTGGACCTGTCCCATGGGATGTACCACAAGGAGTTCCTAATGTAGACCAGCAGCAATGACCTAGGGCCCCTTTTTCTTTGCTTAGATCTGTCTACGTGAGGAACTGTTCTGCCAACCCTTCCCAATCCCACCAAACCCCCAACAGATCTGGCATCCCCTGATCCCATGAAACCAATCTGAACCTGACAACCCTTAATCCCACTCCCAATCATGGATGCAGCTGGGGCTGCTGCCTCCACCTCTTGGCCTGGCAGACTCATCTGTGCCCTGGTGCTTGGTGTTTTGAGCCCCAGCTGCTCTGTGTGCTCCTGCCCCCTTGGGCACTCCCAGCTTCCAGAGATTCCCATGATAGGGAGGTCCCCAGGCCTGCTGCGTACTGCCTGCAGAGGCGGGTCCCCATGCCTGGCCACCCCTCTATGAGGTGGCCTCGTCCTGCAAGGCAGGAGGGATGCAGCACCCTCCTTCTGGTCATCACCTGCCAGGCTCTTATCACATGGTGCTACCCACCAGAACTGCATCCTGGTCTGTAGCCTGAAAAACTGCAGTTTGGGACAATCGGGGGTCGGCCCAGGAGTTCCCAAGGGGATGGGAGTATGTGGACCAGCCAGGGTTTGGGACAGCAAGTGCTATGGTGCAGGGTAGTCTTCATACAGATGGGAGGTAGGGGCAGCAGCCCCAGCTAGATGAATGATCGGGGACAGTGGTGGTTGGCAGGATCAGGAGGGGTTTCATGGGATCAGAGATGTCAGATCTGTGGGGAGTTTGGTGCAATTTGGGTGGGTTGGCAGGACAGCTCCACGCTTAGACTGATCCAAGCAAAAGGAACAGGGCCCCTAAGTAATTTCTGCTGGTCTACATTAGGAACTCCTTGTGCTACCTCCCATTAAATCTTCTTATTTAATCCCTGAGGTAACTCCTCACTTTGTTCTTATCAGTTAGTAAAGTCTGCACGTAGGTGAACTATTGGTATGTTTATTTTAAACCCATTTACAGTATTTAAAGTTGGTATTTTTTGGTTCCCTGCATTTTGAATTAATGCGGTTTTCCTGGTTCAAGGGACCAAAAAACAGTTTGGAACTTCAAAGTAGATGTATTTTGAATTATCCATGTGGTAAGGCATACAAAAACTCATCCTTTTGGCTGGGGAGTGAAAATAGCTTCAAGGTACCTAACACTTTGAACTATCCAATATTGAATTAATGAGGTTTTACTGTATCCAATTAACCCATCATCCAGTATCACCAGTATATTTTTTTGACTAGATGCTCAGTGCAGAAAGCCAGAGAAAATGTTCCAGGTCAGAAAAATCTATAAAGTACCCAACAAAAGACATGCAGAAACACAGGGACTGCCACCCTGGATCAGACCACTGGTCAATTGTGTCTCCAACAGTATCTTGTACTATGTATTATGTATTGAACTTCAGTTGCCTTAACAAAAGTTCCAGAAAGATTCCTATCAGAAGAGGTAGATTATATATTGGGTGACTTTTTAAAATCAAATCCATACATTTACTAAACTTGTTATAATTGTATACACTGTCATAATGCAATAGACATAAAGCAATACGTCCTATATTTATGGCTCAATAAAAAGGCTGTATTTAACATTCTATGACTTTCCTAATGAGTGAAAAGTGTATAACATTTTTTTTAAAAATCCAACATGAATTTCAAGAGAAAATAGGGAAAAAAAGCAATCAAATTTGTTGGTGAGAAGGAAGTTTGAGAAGGATGTTGATGTGAAGGTGAAAGCCATACCTGCAGCAGGAGTTCTGTTTTTCAGTCTGTCTACCTCCATGGTGAAGTCATCCTTTAAGAACAGGAAACCAATGATTGAGAAGAGGTAGACTAGGATAAGAGCTAGCACTGCAGTGAGGATAATGGAGCGACCATTTCGTGTAACACTTTTTATAACATTTAGCAAAGTCTCCTCTCTGTACACCAAATCAAACAGCTAGAGATAAAACAAGACAGGGACAGATGAATGAAGGCAATGCAATATAGAAATGTGACATGAGAACAGAACCCCAGCTTGGGAATTAAACCTAAGGCCTATTCTGACACCAGATACATGAGTATAAAACTTCTATTGATTGCAGTGGGCACTCTGCATGCCTACATGGAGAGAGAACATGGCATATGATTTTAAACTTTATTAGTGCATCTTAAAGTAACACCCAGAATTTAGAGGAATAAAATATGTTAGGTACAGACCTAGTGTAGACTGGCAATATTCAGAATCAACACCCAATTTGTTGCTGAAATTGGTTACTATATCTGCAGTAGAACAGACCAAATCCCAGATTTGAACATCTCTAGGTTATGGAGAAGTCTAAATGTAAATTCATATTTTTCAGGTTGGCCCCCTCACTTACATGCATACACACACACAGATCTGAGCTCCCAATCCTGCATTTGCACAAGAGTAATTTGGATTGGCTGGAACTGGCTGAGTAGTTCCTATAAGCTTATAGGACTCATAGTTAAATTTACTCATTTATGAAGGTAATTGCAGCATCAGGGCTGCAAACATTGTAACAAAAAAGGAAAGTTAATCATGTAACATTTGAAAAGTACATTCTTATTTATATATAACATTTGAAAAGTATATTCTCATTTATCTGGCACCATGTGCTTTCTTGATTTTGATGTCAAAACCCTAAAGATACAATTAATACCATATTTACTTGACTACAAGACGACCCTGAATATAAGGCAACACATCAATAATTAGATTCGATATATGCAAAATGTATGAATGTGTTACAATTTTCTAGGTATGGAATCTAATTATTGGAGGTTTGCCTAAAATTTGTTCCCCGCCCACTGCTATAGCAGGGAAAATAAATGTGTGTGCGTGCGGGGGTCGGGGGTTAGGTAGCCCTCTGGCCCCCAACTTCTACATCCTCTTCCCCCTTTACAGTCAGGCTCTGGTTTCCCTGAGCACATGGAAGTAAGGGGCACATATGAAAAGACTGACCTTGAAATAAACATATAGGCAAATTACTATGGGTACATATAGACTTAGTTCATCCAGAATTGATGCAGTTTACCGTTTTTGAAATTGCTTCAAGTTTCAGCAGTTTTATGCCTACTTATATATAGCACAAACTACGCATACTAGCCCAAAGCCTCATGATTTACCATATAATTAATTGGGCTAGGCCCCAGCAGAGTCAACAGCATTTCAAGCCATGATAATCCCACACCTCTGCACTGCCCAAGTATGCACATATATTCCAAATATCACCCCTAAAGGATCCATGTGCTAATTAACCCCCCACTCATGACTGGAAGTGGGTGTTCTTGTCGCAAGTCGTTGGATCCTCCAGAAATACATAAGTAGATGAGGCACAGGACAACCTGGTCCAGCTCTACCTCATGGAGGGTAGGGACATACTAATCATATGTGACAGGCTGAGAGAGGGAGCAACAAAGGAATTCTGGATTAACTGTTTGGGACCCAGTTTCATGATGTTTGCCAGATGTTTAAGGCTGGTGAAGAAACAGGAATCACTGGAAATACGAAAGACTAGAAGAGTCTGCTGCAGGAGAGGAGAGGAAGTTGAAATGTATTCACTGTAGTGGCTGACTCTGACTTGAAAAAGAGTTGGTGCTGAGTGGGACTGAGAATGGGCACTACCATATATCTTATTAGATGAGTTATACTATTCTATGCTTGTGGTAGGTTCCCAATCCGTACGTTTGCCCAGCATGGGCTATGTATTTTACAGTCACGATCAGTGTGGACTGCACTTAATCAGCTTCATATTTGACTTACATTACTGAGCATATGCTGATTTTGGCAGCATTTTAAAAACAGACAATATATTTAAGGAGGTTTCCTTGTATGTAAATGTAAATGAGTAGCTCTCTTATATCTGAGTAAATATGGTAACAATAATGATAATAAATGCATTAAAATAGTATTTTTATTTTACAGTGCTATTCATGTTTTATAGCTCCTTGGGCTTTATCTCCAATATGTATAGTTCTATATCAAAACACACAAATCAGATATAAAATGGTGCATAATAATTTATCAAGATGGCCCATAGTAAACTGAATGAGTCACATTGCATAATTTTCTGAAATCCACACCCTTGCAAGGGAATTTATAATGAAGAAAAAAAGGAAAGAAAACTATTTTTCATTGCATTCTAGATTCAGCTTAAAATGAGAAACAAGAATAAGAGTTTTTAATATTTCTGCTACCAAGTGAATTTGTGTAAGCAATTAGGGAATGTTTACAATTACAAGGAATCATAGACATTTGTCACTCAAAAACAGCCACTGAAAAAACTTAGTTGCATATTAGCATTTCTTAAGCTTTTTCACACTGTGAACTATATCCCAAGACAGAGATCTCCTTAAGCGCATTGAAGGAATAATAGATTCTCTGGGGATATATATTTTTAAGCCAGGCATCAATTAGTGAGAGATTCCTGCTAATTTTAAAGGGAGTCCTGTGGCTAACACACTGAGTAAAATCCTGTCCTGACTGAAATCAGTGACAGTTTTGCAACTGACTTCAGTAGGGCCAAGGATTTCACCCAGAGAGTCAGCGTCAAATCTTGAGAATTTATCAAACAGGGCCTCATTATAGGCACAGCATCACTTCTGTTGATTTCAGTAACACCTGGACAAGTGTTGGTCAACACAGATTTAGCCTATGAAATCCTGACTCCAACAGGAATTTTGCCATAGTAAGGATGGAAGCCTGGTAACTGTAGTTTAGAAAGCAAGCTCTGAACAAGACACAGTAATTATTGGACATAATCTTGATTGTTCAGGAAACTGAAAGGAATACTATACTGAGTATAATGGAAAGTAAAAGCCATTTAACTGCACAAGATTGTATATAATCTCTCCAGAAGGTTTGTGCACTACAGAATAAAATGAAAGTGATTAAAAACTACTTAAGAACAGCAAAGAGGGTTTTTAAGGTTGTTCATCTTGAAGGGAACGGTTAGATGACTTTCAAGATTATGTTTTATATAGAGTTACTTTGAATTCACCTGCAACCTATTATAAAAGGAATTTTATGCAAGTAACTGAACTTGAAAGAACTGAAAGAAGTACACATTTAAAATGCTGAATCTGCAGGTAGATGGCAGATGCACCCAACCCCTCACCAATAGTGAAACAAGTTGTTGTTATTAATCATATTTACTATGGCAGCATCTACAGACAAAGTGAGATCAGGACCTCATGATACCAGCATTGAAATCACACTGTGGTCCAGTAGTAGACAGTGTCTGTACTCAGCCACTTAGAATATAAATAGACAAGATGGAGACATGGAGTAGGGGAACAAGTACCACATACACACGTAATGTTGGCAATGGCCGGGGAAAAGAGCAGGCTGTTTGATGTTTTTTTGGAAAGGATCATATAGGCTTTCACAGATACTAAGTCCTAAAGGAAATGAATTCTAATGAAAAGAGTATTCCTAAGTGGTAGCAGCACAACAGTTACCATCATAAGTAAAAATACTTATGATTTGGCATGACTGTAAGGAAGAAATCAGACAGCTGCATGTTTAATAGTAATTTCTATTTTTTCAGTTTTCCCCACACAAAGACACATACTTACCAAGAAACTGTAGAAGAATTCATGCACGCAGAGACCCAGCATGCAGACCAAGACGTAGGCTACATGATAGAGGAAGGCCATGTCCATAATGACTGCTCTGTAGCCACGTGTGAATGTTCCACGGTTTCCAACAAAACTCACCAAAAACACTATTTTGTTACAAAGCTGTGGGGGATGACAAGGTTAGAATCACTACATTGAAATAATATTATATATTACTTGCATCATCGTACCTACAAGCCCTAGTCATGGGCCAAAACTCCACTGTGTTAGGATCTGCATAAGCACAATGAAAAAATATGGCCCCTTATTAAACAGCTTACTCATAAGTCAAGAGAAAACTGGAAACTGCACTAGCAGCCTGAAGAGCTGTGTTGTGCCAAAGCCATTACAAAAACATTTTCTTAGCTTTTCATTTCATTCCAGTTCCTCACATGGACACCACACACAACAACCTGTTATGCCATTCATGACATGTGTAGTACCTGAAACAACATCAGTTCCTGTGCCACTTTGATTATGCAGCTAAATAATGTTAGTGTCTAAATGTAATATATAGAACACTAGGCTGGCCTGCAACATCTGAGATAGTTTTGTTTAGTTAAGACAACAGCTCAAAAGGGTTCCCTCACCTACAGTGCTTACATTATGGCATCAGAAGTATGCAACAAACATGGACCTATACTTTTGACTTCAAAAGGAAACCAGGGAAGTGAGATTTCTTAAACTACAGAAAAAAAATCAAGGTTTATTTTGAGAAATGAAGTCCTGAAGTTTGATCCAATCCCAATGCAGTAAATCTCCCATTTCCTCCACTAGGTAAAGGATCAAGTCCCTGCTGCATATAATATACACTCAGATTAAAGGTACTATATCTTAGTATTGCATACAGAGCCAGTTTTTGATTGTGATATATTTTGAGCATATGGGCTAAGTACAGACATTCAAAAGCCCAAGGCAGAATCAAGCTAAACTACCCAGTTTTCTGTAAGTGATGTAGTATACATCAGTAGCAAACAGAACACACTAGGGCTGTGTGAAACTTCGGGTGCTGATTTGATTTGGAGGAGATTTGGCCTGATTCAGCACCTGAATCTCCGAACCCAAATCAAATCAGAAGACCAATAAAAAGGTCCAAATTGATTTGAAGCTCTCTGAATCAATTTGGAAAAGATTTGGAGAGCTTTGGAGAGCTTCAGAGATTTGGACAGTCCCCACTCGCTGCCACAAAGAGCTGAACCCAGATTCTGGCAAACTGAAATAGCGGGCGGGCGGGGCTGAAAGAGGAGGGAGGGGATCATGGGGGGACCCCAGCCAAACCCCATCCCCTGCCTGCTCCCCCAGACCCTCTGATTGCCCGCCAACCCCAACTCACTCTCTCAGCTCTGTCAATGACTGCCTTGCTGGGTCCCAGTGTCCCGGCTCTTTAAGAAAAAGAAAAGCCCTGCACTCACCAGATGCTGCAGCAGCTGTTGGGGCTTCTGAGGCCTTGCAGCAGAGCCCCCCACACAGCATGGGGCAGTGGGCATGGTGGCCACTGCCGCCCCCCAACCCTGCCCTGCCCCTGGCCTGGGAGGAGCTGGTGAGTGTGGGGCTTTTTTTTTTTTTAAGAGCTGGGATGCTGGGACCAGGCAAGGCAGCCATTGACGGGGCTGAGAGAGCGGGCAGTGGATGAGGCCTGTTTGATTCGGAGATTTGGCCGATCTGGTGGCGACTGAATCTCTGAATCAAATTCAGCTGAATCGTTTTGGGACAGTGATTTGAATCATTGAATAAAATCACTGTCCCCTGAATCAGCCGAATCCAAAGTGAATACTAGCTGTTTCTCACAGGCCTAGAACACACATTTGCCCTTTGGTAGCAGAAGCAAATCTTAGACCAGGTTCCACCATTTTTAAATCAATCTATGTGCCAAGCTTCTATTCTGTAACAGGTATAGACCGGTTTGCATATCAAACTTCTGTTCTGTTATGGATATAGACCACTTTCTGACCAGTAAAAATGTAATGTCTGTATCCCGGCATGGTGTACATTGAGAACAGCTGCTTTGAAGTGAATGGAGCTGTCCTGGATATTTGTCAGATACCATGCAGTCTATTGTTTATTATAGAGCTCTTGATTCTATACTTTCCCCTCCAGAATTTATACCAGAATACATACCCCTTTAAAAACTCTTTGCCTACCACTGTACCTAAACAAAGTTCTGCTATTATTTGAAGAATTTCTCAGGTATTCCTTTCCTTAATTATAGAGCAGCTAAAGATTAATGCCAACACCGTGATAACATTATCTAAGGGCAAATTGAAGAGTTATTAAAGGCAACTGATGCATGCTTCTGTACTTACATTAGCAGCACCAAGAAGTATCAATGTTGGCCCAAGCCCTATTGTGTATATAGACCTGAGAATTACGGATACTAGAAATGGTCGAATACCAACAGGCTTGGAGAAGAAAAACAGCACTGCTGTACAGACTGCCACTGCTATCCAGAGGAGGACTGAAAACAATGGAGAAAGTGTACCTACACAGGGAAGAAAAAGAAATTTTGGAAAATCAGTTTTGCATTACAGTTCATTCTTTTGCTAATTTATCTAACAAATAGAACAACTTGTGCAATATTATTTCTGGCTGTAACTTACCCTGATCATAGCAGGAGATACTGTTGCCATATTCTAATTAATTATATACAGGTAATAACAGGAGTAAATAATAAAGTTGCCATTAAATCTGAGCATTTTTCAGATGAGATGGTTTACCCATCTGATGTAAAGTTTTGCCAGTTGGCTCTTTTCTCCAGAGCTCATCAGGATACTTCACTACTATTTTTGTGATTGCCTAAATACAAAAAATTCCACTATGCCCCAACATGAAAGTTCAGCTATTTGGAGCTGTGTCACTACTATGCTAACTTCTCATGCTGCCAAGAATATAGCCGGCCTGGGAAAGATAGTGGTGTCTGGGGAAAGGTATATGGAGAGGAAGATCATAACCAGCTCAGCAATGAAACCATGCATATCTATCTGGCAGCAGATACAGGGGTCCGTGATATCACTAGGATTAGAAAACTGTGGGATTAGAAAAGTTTCAGAGCTGAGGGTATTTATATTTTGGCAATCAGATCAAGCTCAGCTCCATATAGATTTTTCATTCCAACAAGAATGGAGAAACTTCAAGTGGACCCTTAAAAAAAATCCAAACTTGATTTTCAGGTCTCCAAAAAACTCTAGGTCCAAAGCACTCCATGTGTTTTTTATCGAGTCATTCTTCTTCCCTTCCTCAAAGTCAATAGATTTCATTTAATGAAACTTGCATCAATAACATGTACAGACATGCACAGTGGAGGCAAGGAGCCCGTCAGAAAAGTGATTTCACTTGGGTCATATGATGCAGGAATTGCAGAATTATACTAAAAGGCAGCATTCTAGGGATGATTAGATCAGCTCAAGCACCTCAGACACGTGAATACAGACTGATTTTACTCAGGAAGAACAGGGGTGGGAGAGAGATAGTGAAACAAACTGCCTCTTGAGTTCCACTGGACAGGGGAGTGCAGGAGGAAAAGAGCCTGTCTGCCTTATGACTTTTCTAATCCCTTTTGCTCACACCTACGTTTATTTTTTATAAACCTCTATTACATCCATGAGTGCTAGGAATGATTGGATTTAGAATGCTGAATTGCACTATCGCTGAAATCACTGGATTATTGGGCTTCTTAAACTAAGACTATATAAACCTGCAGCACAAAATGAGTTTTAAAACGTGTTGGTGTTAGACCAGAGCATTTAACACGCTGTAAAATTCTCAGATTAGGCAAATACTTATTAGTTTAAAGGGTTTGTTTTTAACTCTTTGTTTCTTCTTTATTTTATGATCAGATGTGCGTGTATTTTAAATTAATTGGTATTTATGAAATTGAGAGTACTAAGGATGGTAAATCTTCCCTTGCTAAAACAAGCATAAGTCACCATATTGCAAGTTTCTCTCCAGAGTGCTTCTGGTGTGCTTGCACTCTGACCATCTCAGGGGGTAAAAGGGTAGTTCAGTCTCCATGCTGTGCCCTTTTAATCTTTTACCTCTCTATTTAGCCAGCCAACAAGAATGTCTGCTAGCAGTACCGTAGCAAGGGAGAGGCAAACAGGACAACTGCTGCAGGCACTGAAGTGATGGGGTGGCAACAGGTGAGTCATGAGTAAATATTTTGTTATAAACATTTTGAAAAATTTTGGCTGATGTGGCTGATAAATACTGCATGTATGCATGCATCTGCAATGTGCACATGGCCAGCCCAGCAGCTTAGAGAGCACTGTCCAGCTGGTGAGTCTTTTGCGGAGGAAAAGGGGCAGGGGAGAGAGAAGGGGAATGGGGGGGGGCAGATTGAGGCCCCCCCTGGTGAGGGAGAATGGGGGCTGGGACTGGGGCAGGTGCTGCCCACCCAGGGCAGGACGCGGGATGCAGTCATGAGCAGCTTGTTTGGGGGGGAGTGCAGGAAAGTGGAGCTAGCTCCCACCACTGCATGCACTCCTGGGTGAGCATGGGGGGGTGCCCCCCCCGATCTGTGCATGCTTGCCCCGGACACCAAAATTCCTTGCTATGGCACTGCCTGCTAGTGCCAACTTGTGGCAGTAATATTTGTGAAGAGCACATGTATCTGCTAGAAACAGGGAAACTGGATTGCTTCCATCAACTTAGTTCACGTGAGTCATCAGTTGGGGGTGACTTTCAATCACATTACTAACTGGGCTGGACCTGACCCAGTGACCCTGAGGTGAATGGTTCTCTAGCTTATTACCAATCTCCCGAGTCATCCAGTCCCCTTTATTCCTATTAAGCATGTTACTTCCTGTTTATATTGTACATTGATTTGCTGGACTATATTAGTGAATATACAGAATAATCCAGCCTTAGATACTCCACTAAAAGTATATGGGATTAGCAGTGCAATATAATAATTGCACACACACACACACGACAGTCAGTCAGAAAGTAAATCTCTCATATTTCTTTCTTAGCCAAATATTATTAAAAAATATTAAACTTTGTGCAGAAAATGTTTACATCACTGCTGAACACAACTGTATTTCAACGTAGTCTCCTGTGTCAGTGGTCTTTTTCCACTGATAAACAAGGACATGTTTCCTGACATAACCAAAGTCTTTGTCCTTCCATATAAAAATATATGGGAAAGTAATTTTAGTGGGGTATCTAAGGCTGAATGACCTTGTAGTTCCTAAGATCTATGATGAAGCAGAGCCATAATTACTCACTTTAAATATGTCATTCCTTTTTCATCTTGTATGCTTATATTTTGCCACTGATATGTTATATTTTCCCAATGAGCAAAGCAGTTGCAAACTGGCAAACTAAATGGATTTTATATCATCCCATTCCTTGTCTGGCCCTTCTACCTGGCCACTCAACATTTTCTGAGTCTTTCAAAGGAATGCAGACCTTTAACTGGCTACAGTCTTAGAGGTTAAGTAAAATCTTTCACTTTTATTAAAAAAAATGTAAGGTTGGGGGAAAAGAAAGTCCGTTTTTTTTTTTTTTTACACAAACTTCTGATTACTTTGCCTGTATTGCATTTTTTTTTTCCTATTCTTAATATGAAGGTATTGATTTACATAGTGCCAGAAGCCCTTTTGGGACTTTTTTGCTACGCTGCTCAAAATCACCTTCCTCTTCAAGAGACTGATACCAAATATGACATTAGCCATTCTACAACAACTTTGGTTGGGGCTGGTTTGCCCTTTTATTGCACCATGAATTGGTTGAATGTGTGGTATGTTGCAATTTATTATGTGATTAGCATGCTAATTGCACAATAAATGCAATGTCTGCCAGGATCCTGAGAGCTAAAAATGTTTACAATAAAAAAAACAAAAGAAAAAGGAAAAAGAAGGATGGAATAGCACTTGCCTTCATCTCCATCATCTCCAAAGGGGTAGAAAAGAGCAACTGCTAAGTTGATGAACACAGCCAGGTTGAAGGAAATGCTCCCCCAGAGAGAGATATGTCTAGAGAACCAGAACAGGGCCGGATTATCTAGAAGGAAGAGCAAAGCAGTATTGAAGAATGAAAAGAACGTACGTGAGTTTAATGAGTAACAGCTCCAAGAAAACAAGGCAGGTGACTTAAGGAAGAAAAATTAAGTAAATGGTTAAAAAAAATAAATCACTAATGAGATAAAAAACAGACATTTTAAATAGTTTAATGGTCATATTATTGCATTTTCACAGCGCTTTTAATCCAGAAGAACCCCAGAACACTTCATTTCAAATAACTGCCTTAATAATGGGAGTTTGCATTTGGTGGGAGAAGGCAATCCAGGTGATTTAACACCAATCCGTACTCTGCACACATCACTGGGTGGAGAGAAAGAATTTTTCCTAGAAAAATTAAAACACACCCCCCCCAATCGAAATTAGGATGGACTTTTATGTCCTCAGAAACCTCAAAACTATGTTTTTCTCCCCACAAAGATCAACAACTCAATTTACCTGAAGGAGACGGGACAAGTTAACCTTTAAAATGATCAAATATATGGATCTGGAGAATCTAGATATATCACGTGTGATACAACCTAACACTAACTAAATCATTTTCTACTACATTTTTAAAGTGCTTAGAATGCCACAACTTAAGTCAGGAACCTATTGTGCTAGGTGCTGTACAAATGCATAGAAAGAGTCCCTGTCCCCAAGAGCTTACCAGCTAACTAGGCAAAACTGACAAATACATTGGAGAGAGAAGAGGCAGGTGAGTGATCTGCCCAAGTCGCTGAACGATCTGCCCAAGTCGCTGAACAAGTCAGTGAAAAAGCCAGAAATACATAGAATCAATGAGTCGGAAGGGACCTAGACAGATC